CAGATGGACTACAGTCTGTAATTGTAAAAACTACAAAGTGGTCCTATATGATAAGTGGAGCTGATAAAATAGACAATGAGTGTAGAAACAAGGATTTTAAATTTTTTATGTTATGGCTGATCGGCGTATATAAATAAACATTGCTGCAGACTGAAAATGTTGGTTTCATCTCTCGCCCGACCTCAGTGTCCACTGCTTACTGCTTAGTTTCTGTGCTCTGTCCTGTACTTAGTTTGTTACACACAAAGCACTTCACTGACCTGCCTTGTAACTCTAACGTTTAACAGGGTAAACATTCTTCAAAGGGGGCGCTATTGGTACTCAAATAGAGCTGGATGCTTCATTAGAGCAGCGCTTCAGTGCATCAGTAGTGAATTTCTGGGCAAACTGCGAGTGATAAAATGAAAAGGTGTAAAAATAAATAAATAAATAATTGAATTTGCCCAGGATCTTGTTTCCATCAAACTGATCTAAAATTGCAGTACAGAATGTCACCATTTGTTGCAAAAAAGCTTTGGTTCATTGATATTAAAAGGTTATTGGCATGTTTTTATCTCTATGTTGTAATTTGTAGCATTGGCTTCCCTGAATTCCCCACAACCTACAGATAAATACATTTTATTTATTTCATTTTTGATCATAATTACCATCAATTTTTACTTATTAATTTTACTGGAAGCATTACACAGGGCTCTCTCTCTCTGTTAGAGCTGAAAAGCAGCATTTTCCTTTTAAAAACAGGAAATGCCTAGTTTTTTGCAACATTTTAGGTATCAGCATATTTCTGTTGAAGTTGAATGGGAAAAACAGGCTTGTCAAGATTCATAAAATAATACCAACAATGTCTATTTTTTCAATGTTTTTGTGGAAAGAAAATCCTTCGGATGGAGCTAGTCATTCATTTTTATAACTCCAATTTATTTTTTCTAGCCTTGTTTTCATTATTATTTAAAGCTTACGTTGTATGGGGTGAGTGAATACGTACTTTTTTGTTAGCCAAATTTGCAATATATACAACATTATTTGCTCTTGAATGGGCCAATGTGGCATTTTAAAATTAAAAATCAGTTGCCAATTTAAGTAACATGAATCAAAGTGAATGTTAGAAAGTAAGAGTCATGTATATTTATGGTATGACGTTTTAGTTTAGGTGTAGCAGCTGCATTCGAACACAGTGTGAGCGCACTTGCCTGCAACATTATAAAATTACAACACTGATCTGGCAAAATAAAAAGAACAAGCTGCCGATTTTGTGCGATTTTGGATTATTTTGAGTATGCATCCATAACACTGTGTGCCCTTGTTGTGTAGTGCTTTGTATAGCTTGTATTTATTGTAAAAGAATTTTGTTCCTCACTCAAAACAGGACTTTTACATCTTAACAGTGTCCAGTTAAGATCGACTCATTGTTACTTTAAATGCAAAATATGGGAAAAATTAACCACAATATAATACAAAACGTGTTGCTGATTTATACACTATTTTTGAAAATGCAGGCACAGGATAGAAGTAATAAAATCTTCCATTTTTGACGAGAGGGTGACATATAAAGGGAAATTCCACTGATTTCTTAAAATTTCTGCATAAATCATTGAGATGTAACCAAAGTCATACAAAGAGTTTTGCAAGTGCATTGGTTCATTGTAGATAAATTTACTGATTGCTTACAAGAACCAAAAGTCAGTGCACATTAGTCCCGTCCTCAAGTCATTACAACGGTTACAGGACAAAATGGCTGTTCTGAAAGTTTGGGTTGCGACCCCTGGGCTATACAAATGAACTTGCCTTGCCTACAGTGGTGGTGATCAGGGGTTGAGATGTCTACAACACAAATATGGCCACACAAATATTACCTAAAACACCAGTGAACCCACGTGTGTCTTCTGAACTTGTTTACATAATGCTGATGAGGGTAAAACAATAGTAAACATGAAAATAAAATCTATCATCTTTGAAGGAATATTTTGCCTCACAATGCCCTTCATGTACCTGAAAAAAAAAAAAAATAATAATAAAAAAACATTAGGTAAAGGCCTCAAAGCTATCAGAACGTAATGTCTCAGACATCAGGCAATGCATTCATAACCATTCCATGTAGCCTTTAGAGGCCTTAAACTCTTCAGACGTATGTAGTCACTATCACTGTGCACAATTCTGACTTCACTCCAAACCACTTTGACTTTGTTCACATATTAACCATTTAACTCTGTAGACATTTTGAAAAACTTGCATTTATACAGCTTCTCAGAGTAGGAACGCTGGTCTAGATGCGCTCCAGTCAGTAAGATCATCGTACATGAGACAGTAATCAGATCCTAAAATGGGACACCTACTCTGAGCAGCTCTATGAATGCAGGCCTGTTTAGCACTTAACATTCTCAAGAGGACACGACTCTGAAATGCAGCCATTTGGTCACATTTATAAAATGGAAAGAGAGCCACCTGCTGGAGGACTCAAGTGGTCAGTCTCATTTATGTGCAGTTCAAAATGAATTTCCCTGGACATCAGTACATAAACTAGCAGCTCTCCGCTGTTTGATTGGAGCCTTTTAAGGTCTTGAATGGCTACTGCTAGGCTGCATGGTGTAGATAAAACACCACATCTTGCAAAATGTACTGTGGCCAAAACTTTGTAGACGCCTGCTCATCCAATTTGTCTGAAATCAAGGATATTAATAGCTTGTTTGTCCCCCTTTGCTGCAGTAACAGCCTCTACTCTTCTAAAAAGGCTACACAAGGTGTTGGAACATTGCTGTGTAGATGTGACTGCATTCAGCCACAAGGTCAGGATCACAAACACCAAGGTACTGGATGTCAGGGCTTCTTATCCCTCTAGCTAACGTGTAGCAAAGGGCATGGTGATCTTAGACTCATGTGCAGCTGCTACAGAGCGTTCTAATTTATTGGCTATACTTGTCTATGGAGATTATACAAGCTGTGTGTGCATGATTGAACATCTGTCAGCAATATGTGCACCTTAAAGCAGCTAAATTCACTAATTAGAATTGGGAGTCTGGATGCTTTTGGAAATTGTGTATTAAAACCACACTAGCCTAACTTTAAGATCAGCCTGCATCATTTTGACTAAAATTCATGTGTTTCGATCATGTGAATACACTGATTCATCGACACAAGTACAGGACACTAAAGTCTGCTCAGGATGCTCACACATTTATGACTGGTTATAGGGCTCATTTGCATGACAGCTTACTGCAGTCTCAGCATTGCAATGGCCAGCACTGCTGTAACAATTAACATATGGGTCAGCCTCACGAAATGACAAAGCATGACCATTAATATTTCAGTGTCAATCACACAGATAAATTATTTATATAGTTTAGACCAACTGCAGCAATATAGTACAGAAAAAAAGTCTTTTGGGACCAATTCACACTACTGCAGTGTGTCCAATGATCTGCTTCTCATCACAGATATTTAACATTTAGAGGAAAAAAAAGAGCTCTTTTAACTTGACTCCATTTATTTAAATATTTAATAAGGTAAACTAAAAGGAAAAGAGTATCATGGCACAAGTACAAAGAAAAACCGCTGGCTGTCAATGTGTTACAGCAATGAGAAAACTGTGCATCACCCCACATGTTCAATCTATATGAAGAACATACACTGACCAACCAAACCATTAAAACCACCTCCTTGATTCTACATTCACTGCCAATTTCATTAGCCCCACATACCATATACATGCACTTTATAGTTCTACAGATACATACTGTAGTTCATTTTTCTCTGCATACTTAGTTAGCCCCTTTTTACCCTGTTCTTCCCCACAGGGCAAGTAATATTTGGGTGGGGTATAATTCTCAGCACTGCTGGACTGAAGAGTCCAGCCGAAATACACAGCAAACAGCATCTTGAGACCTTTGATGAAGGATAACCAAGATAAACTGCGCAGCAACAAATGCACTACTGACTTTACATCTACACGGTGAACCCATAAGGTAGGTGTGTCTAGAGCATGGTTTTTAATTTCTCATATATATATATATATATATATATATATATATATATATATATATATATATCCAGCAGCAATGCTGTGTCTGATCCACTCATACCAGCACAACACAACACGGTGTCACTGCAATCTGAGAATGATCTACCACCCAAATAATACCTGCTCTGCATTAGCAGAACAGGGTAAAATGGAGCTAACAAAGTTTGGTTGGTGCCAACTCAATTCTAATCAAAAACAGAACAGAACATCCTTTTTAAAACAAAAAAGGATGGAGCTTGAACAAATCTTCAAATGCAACGATTTGTCTCTACAAAAGATCAGAATTTCAGGCTATGGTCTTCTGTGTTTTTTAATGGATGTGAAAGCTGGACAGGAGGAACAACTGGAGCTTTTGAGCTTTTGTTGGCAAAGACTTGCAAGTACCTTGGACAGCAAAGAAAAATGGTTGCTCTACTAAGTCAAGCATCATCCCTCACTTGAAGCCCAGATGACTGAAGCTCTTATTTTGGAAATATTCTTAGGAGAACCAATCGATTGAAAAAGACCATTATGTTTGGAACAGTTGATAAGAGGAAGGGAATGGCCAGCTATAAGATGGAAACGGTCAAATGAATCCTGAGCAAGCCAGTCACAAGCCTCAAGATTCAAAAAGATATATATATATATATATTTATTTATTTTTTTCCACTTCAAATATTAGCTTTAAATTAAATTCTGCAACAGCTTTCAAGTGAAAAGCTGGGGACATCTGATTTCTCTCAAGTTCAGAAGGTAACATTTGTGAGAATAACTCATGAGGCAGTCCCAATCCAGCACAGAAACAGACAAATTTCCAAAGCCATAAAGAATTGAACCACAGGCTTGAGTGCAATGCAAAGACTTTAATGACACCTCTGTGCAAGTAAATGCATGTTTTCTGCACGTCAACATTACACTGCATGTTTAAAACAGTTTGTACATTAAAAAGAGACGCGTCTGGACTAGGCTCGGCCAGAGCGCCCGCTTATTTTTCTTCCTTCTTTGGTCTTCTGCAAATCACATTCCTGCTGCATTTCCAGTGCCCAGAGTTTTGAAAAACTGAGCATGGTTTCAATGGACAGTGCCTTGACAAAGCTAAGCAAAGCCCTCTCGGCAAAGGCTGGGTCCACACCTCCCAGATCCAGCCACAGCCTGGGCATGAGCGAACATGTCAAAACATGGTCCAGAGACATCATTGTCAGATAGGACTAAGGATGAATGCACGGCATTCAAAATTAAGCAGTGTGAGCTCTGGAAATGCAGTCATGTGCAGCAAGATGTACAAAATTACCCGTTACAACCCACAAAAATACCAGTGTTCATTTATTATAATAGCATGCTTTTTTTTACGTGTTCCACAGTGCTATAAGTGCATTTAAATATTAGGCAATACATTCAAGTATTAGTGCAGTGCATTACTGTAGTCTTTTAGTATCTTGTGCCTCTTCTTTTCATAGATCCTGGTAAAGAAACATAATCCAGTAAACAGTTGGGTGCAATAAGCAAGAATTGGTGCTAAAAATGTAGTGCTTACCTCTGCCCCTTTGGTAGTGGGAAAACTCAGCCTCATCATTGTCATCGTATTCATTTCTCTTGGGCCTCTGCTGAGCAAACATCTTGCAGTAAGACCTTCGTCGTCCAGGTCTCCCTTTAGGTACAGGGACAAAGACAAACTTAACATGTGTCCATTCAGAACTGGGACTTTTGAGCTTGAAGCAAAAAGAAAACTGCCTTTGGATGGACCTCAGGAACTTGTAAACTCAGTTGACCACAAGGAAGTCACAACAATGGTCATGATGGCAAGTGATAAACATCCAAGTGTACAAGTAACAAGTTAAATTACACACATTTATCATTAGCTGCATTACTGTAACATTAAGGCATTACATACAAGTAATATTCCTAAAATCAGCAACATCACTGGTCTATCCCAGGAGATACTTGTTCTTCTGATATGTTTAAGAGGGTCAACCCATACAGTTTACAACTGTAAAATGCACTTCAGGCAAACACACAAAATCTAGTACAATGTAGTCTTCTGTGCTTTATTGCACTTATAGCCCAAGTCAGGTGTGCCCAGTCCGGGCCCTGAAGGTCAAACCAAACACGCCCCCAGAGAGTAGCCTCAGTCCTATTTAAAACACACACCTGGTCCAGGTAATGAAGGCGTCCAGGGGCATTTGACTAGCAGAACCAGGTGTGCTAAATCCTAACTCTCCAGAGAGGCAGGTCTCCAGGACTAGGATTGAGCACCCCTGCCAGACTTGGGACAAACCAGCCTCACAGGGCCAGACAGGATCTCCTAATGAAAATGTCTGGGGACAACCGTGAAAAAATTCTGGTGCCAGATGTGAATGGGAACATAGACTCATTAGAGAGGGAACAAACTGAGCAAAAAAACAAGCCTGTTACAACATGGATGTAACAAGTCAGCATGACCGAAGTCCCCCCGCAAAAACTCACATTAAGTGAACGGGGGGGGGTGGGAAGGAGCATGGAGAAGAGGAACTTGGAGGCTGCATTTTACTGCAACACCACTATGCAAGCCTTTGTGTCCGTATGTGTACTTAACTGTTGAGTTCTTTCAGGTGAAAATTTCTGAATTTGAATGGCATATTTAGTATGACAACCAATGGAATATAACCAAGAAATAAACCAAAGCAGGCTGGATCTGTTAATGAGTTTCACTTTGGAAATATTCTTCATAGGTAGCACTGAACTTACACCATTCAGAAGCTGTAAATAAGGTTTACTATTTCTAGACACTGACACCTATAAATTGACCGTATGCTGACCACCTGAGCACAAACAAATGGCAGTAATGACCAGCTGAAAATTGTTCTACAGTGGACCAGGCAAGTGCACCTTAATTACCATTTTAAAAAAAGTGGGGAAAGAACTGCTGCAAAGAACACCTTTTTCTTGAAGCCCATTGGCTGGCCTATGGGACCGTGACTTCTGTTTGCCACTGCAGCTGGTCCAGCTTTCCTGATCCAATACATCTCCTTGTCGACCTTCTCTGCACTGATGTTCTGAAGAAAAAAAAATAATATCACTACTCTCTGAAACACTGAAAAGCCAATGAGGCAAGTGTGGAACCCACCAAGCTATGAAGTACCCGAGACCAAGACTGATCAACCCAAAAGACTGCTTACCTGAGAAAGACCTGGACTGGCCACCCTTTTGTCCTTTGCCCTTGACCCTGTCTGCTTTAGCAGGAGGATGGAGCAACTCTCCACATTCTCCTCTGCCATGTCCCTGGTCCTGCTCACTCAACTCTGCTCCCTCCTGCACCTTCCTGGTTTTGTGCTTGGCAGTCTGCCGACCACAAGGGGGCAGTGCAGGCCTGGAAGCTTGCTGCCTCAACACTAACGTCTGAGATTCACAGGTGCCTGGGACTTGTCCACGTTCCTCTAGCTCACACTCACAGTCCTGATCGGAGAGCTCCTGTGCTACGTCCTTCTCCAGATAGCTGAAGCGCTCAGCAAGGATCGTTTCATCCTCGTCCGGTAGGCTTGCTCCACAGCAAGCACATGTTTTGGCACAAACCGAGCAAGCATCATCTCTGTGCTCCTCATCAGAACGGGTGGGAACAGCACTGGTTTCAGCCAATTTGCCACCACCTATGTAGACTTGCCCGGCCATGAGTTCATCTTCCATGTCTGTGGAGAACATCTCGTCCCTGGAAGAAAGCTCATCTAAGGAAGGGCTGAGGACACTTTGACGCTCCTGGGCAACTTGAGGGTAATAGCTGTAAGGGTATGCATTGCCCAAGGAGTGTCGTTTAGGAGGCAGCGGAGGAGTTGCAGTATCCAAATACACCAGGGGATTGACCTCCTTCTGAAGCACCAAGCCAGTGGTGGTCTTATTGCAGGGCAAGCGGAGGATTTGATACGGAAGGTCATTGTCCATAGCAGTCTGCACCGGAGGCTCCACAACCTCTACAGACTTGGGAGACAAATTCCCTGCTTGCTTGCCTTGGTCTGAGGCCTTTACCTCAAACGGATAAGTCTTCTCACTTATCTCAGAAACGCAAGCTCCAGAGTCTTGGCCCTCAGCTAAATTCAAACTCTTCATATTGCCAAGAACATCAGAATCATTTCCATCAGATTTCACACTTTGCAAGCATGCCATCTCCGTATCTCTCAGCTGGTCGTCCATTCCCTGACCCTCCTCATGGATGGAAGAGCTGTCCAGAGGAAGCACACCTGACAGTGCACACTCTTCCAGTCGCTCCCGGGCTTGACTCTGCGTCGTACACGGCCGAATCACAAAAAGTCACAGGCTTCACCTCTTCATCTTGCTCTGCCTTAGCAAGCTCAGAAGCAGGCTTAGCATCTCCATAGTTCAACTTCTCCACCTCTTGAGTGTAGCAGATTATGGCAGGAGTTGAGGAAAGCATCACATTGGATTCTTTGACAGCTCCAGATTTTTCATTGTCTTGGAGACCATCCAAGCTGTCTGCGAGTTTGCTGACTGGATCCCCAGGCTCTGTCTGGGCTTCGGAGGACGTAGTGTCTCGATGCACACTCATCTGCTGGAAGTGCTGACGGAAGCGGAGGTCATATGAGGCAACGGAGGGAAAGAGGGGTGTTACCCTTCTGTAATCAGTCGGCTGCATGGGTGCATGTGGAACCACGTAACCGGGGTACTGCATGTATTGATACGGAGCCATAAAGGGGCGTCCAAGAGGGAAAACTAAGGAGGAAAAGAAAAGCGCTATCAGATGAATACAACGCTGCATCACTTGGCAACAACTGAGAAAGTAGTCCTACGGGACCAGACATGGTCACTACTAGAGCTGGGCAAATTGGCCAAAAAAAATATCACAAAAAATTTCATATTCGATATATGCTGTTTTAAACTACTCTTGATGGTCAGAACATGACAAACACTTGCCAAACAGTGGAACAATTCACAAACCCGTCATGGGATAGTGCGAGAAAGTTTCTGGTTGGCTGGAAAAGCACAGCCGCAATTTATTGTCTACTGCAAGCAAAGTAGTGACACTACTTTCCTTGCAGTAGAAAACGCCACCAGGGCTGTCGCTAGAACGCGGAAGTGTGAGAATGGACTATTTTACCAAAAATTTATCAAACATCTCATTTCTAACAAGGAAAAGTTATAAGTTTTGCTTGTGTTATTGATTGCACACGGGTCGTAAAGGTGCCGTATCCATGTTTAAAGCCGATTTCACTGCAATCCAGCAACAAAAGTTTAAAAAGTTGTCTGTGTATTCTCATCACAAGATCACATCTACCAAAGTGAGACTGAGAAACAAGACTGGCTTATTGTTACCTGGCCCTGGGAAGCCATATTGTCCAAATGGATCCATAGGCCATTGATACATGAAATAAGGTTGAGATGGTGGTTGAACATAGAAAAATGGTCTGCTGTGGTTAACTGGGTGGTGAGGTTGTTCAACATCTGTTGATTGTGAGGTACTGTTAACTTCTAAGATAGAAGACAAAACATGCATCAGTGTGTAATATCACAAAAAAGAAATCTTGTAATTGAGACAAAGATCAAGAAATTAGAGGAGAGCAGGCACAACCCAACACTTAAGCTAAATGGCTAAAAGGATTTGAGCAAGATTAATTGTTTTTACAAAAACAGCCTACACATCTCCGCCACAAATAAACTGTACTGGGCCGAGGGGATAGTGGCTAGAAGGGGATAGAAGTTCAGCATAATCAATGTAAACAAGTGATTCAGAAAAGTTGCACAAAAGTATGATTAGTTAGGAGTCTCTGCTAAATATGGCACATTTATTTTTGACCAAAGTGGTTGACCCAAATTTCAGAACAATAAATGAGACGTATTACATAACCTGTACACATCTGATGAATGCATGCATGCATAAAAATATTCAAAAAATGTGAATTCATCAGTGAAATATGGACTTAAAGTATCGCATTATGACTAACTCCACCATGTGGAGGCTTTACCAGAGAATTTCTAGGGAGAACTGCCATCTAATAATTTATTTCTGCCCCTGAGAGCCCATAATAAAGGCAGGCCTATGAAGCTATTGTGAAAATTTGGAAATAGTTAATGCTTTTTATATATACACACAAATGCACTGGTCTTCAACACAGATTAAGAGCAATATCAAAGCTGTAGCAGATTCTGAAATTTCAGCTCATTATGGGACTTTAACAGTGCCTTAAGCATGTTCATGAGGTCAATGAGCACTTTTTATATATACACACACACACACACACACTTCCCCAAATTACTACCTGAAAGAAGGAAATTAAGTTATTTTGTTTTAGTTCCATTTATCCCCATTCATTCATTGAAGACCTGCTTGTGGGCGCCCTCTGGCATAACGCAGTGATTTTGTTGTAGTGAGCTGGTTATATGGTTTAAGACCGGGGATGAACAATTTGGGATAATATCTAATCGTGATTTTTCTGATCAATATCACATCTGACATTTAAACTGATTATTATATATAAATCAGGTTCAGGTCTATTTCTTTGGCCAAGACCACCAGAGTATCCACTTTTTCTGGCTTGAAGTTTGAATGTAGTGTGCCAGACTACCAGTATGTTGTAGCTGCGATGTCACAACACATGGAGATTAAACTGCCTCTGATTGGTCTCATCTACAGACAGTCCACAAGCTGTTTTATTAGCTTAATTGTCCCCACTTAATTAAAGTATTGATAATGTAAGCTATAGTTTTATAAAATTACAACCAGGAGGGTGACTAAAATACTACTGGAGAACATCTTTTAACTTGAACAGTGCGATTAAAACAATTATGAAAAAAAAAGTTGCTTTTATGGTACAAAAACAGGCTTTAGCTGTTAGATTGCTGCGTAATTTCACAGACTGCATTGGTAAGGGAAAGGGACCCAAAACAATCAATAAATAAAAATTACATTTTGCTTGTCAGTTTGTGTACCACTCTCCTCTCAACTCTGCAAAAAAGATGATGGTTCTTTAAAGAGTTCTTAATAAAAGACAAAAGGCTCTATATAGAACCATAAACACTCAAAGAACCATTTCCATGCTGAAAGGGCTCTTTGCACGGTGAAATGGTTCTTCAGATTGATGTAGCATGTGCTACACACCGCTCAGGCATAACATTATGACCACCTCCTTGTTTCTACGCTCATGGTCCATTTTATCAGCTCCACTTACTATATAGGTGCACTTTGTAGTTCTACAGTTACAGACTGTAGTCCATCTGTTTCTCTGCATACTTTGTTAGCCCCCTTTTACCCTGTTCTTCAGTGGTCAGGACCCCCATGGACCCTCACAGAGCAGGTACTATTTGGGTGGTGGATCATTCTCAGCACTGCAGTAACACTGACGTGGTGGTGGTGTGTTAGTGTTTAAACACCTGTGTCGCTGCTGGACTGAGAATAGTCCACCAACCAAAAATATCCAGCCAACAGCGTCCTGTGACCACTGATGAAGGACTAGAGGATGACCAACACAAACTGTGCAGCAGCAGATAAGCTATCGTCTCTGACTTCACATCTACAAGGTAGGAGTGTCTAATAGAGTGGACAGTGAGTGGACACAGTGTTTAAAAACTCCAGCAGCACTGCTGTGTCTGATCCACTCAGACCAGCGCAACGGTTCTATAATATGGCTCCAAAAAGGGTGCTTCTACTGTTACAATGTCAAGAGCCGTTTTTCAAAAAAAGTTCTATACTGAATATACAACACATTCTCCATCATTATCAAGAACCATTTCACCATGTTAGAGGCCTTAAAGCATTAAAAGGTTCTATATAAACCTCACTGTCAAACAGAACCATCCCCTCTACTAAAGAACCCAGAACCATCTTCTTTAAACACATTCTTCATAAAGTTAGACCACAGCACACTGACCTTCCATTTTCAGTGAAGGGGCAGAAACCTTTACACAGGATACCAAACACACCGCAATACTACCAAAGGAAAACACAAAGCAGGTGAAAGAGTGAACCGACGCCACTGTTAACAACGACACAAACGCAGCATGTTTGCAGATGAAAACACCGACCTTAAACGTGAAAGGTGACGATTCAAAGTGGAAACAGAAGTGAACAAAGCAAGAGTAACAAACTCTGGACCAACACACTCAACCTAACTCATTTATAACGTCCACCGCGCCAGCTCGCCTGTCCGGCCTCGGCAGCTGCGCTCCATCATAAAACCTCAATTAGCTGCGAGAAGCGCGCGCTCACTTTAATTAGCGCGCCTGTTCACGCCGGGCTGCGTTGACCTCACGCAGTCTGTCGCGAGACCTATTTGCACAATTTCTACGCAGCCCTATACCGACTGACTGTGCTACGTTGCAAAAAAATAACTTAAAAGTCTCTTTTTTCTCATAACAAAAATTGTGCTGCATACAGTAACTTAGGCTATGTTTTCCCCTTTTTTTTAGATAATTAACTTTGTTTCTACTGGGATTTATTGGAATTCATTTATGGGAAATCTGATTATTATTATTATTTATTATTTTTTTTATTATATATTTAGTCAGCTTGCAGACACACAAGTCACATACTACCAAAAACATCGAAAAGCAACTGTGTTGAACAGCAAAACAACAGATAAAGAGAGGGAAAATTTTAATAGTTAAATAAAATAAAAGTAGAGGTGTGCGATATGGCAAAAATATGATATTGCAATACTTAAAGAAATGTATTTTTTCAGACATCTGATCAGCTGGAACAGGAAAAAAAAACTAGTAGTGCTACATTTTAAAAATTGCTATCAAAAACTGTGAATTCAATGATTTTTATTCAGTATCTTGCATACCGTGTTGCACTAAATCCAGCTGAACTGGACTAATTTTGCTCTCTTTATAATAAAACATGCAGTTGGTCAGCGTTCTACAAGCACTGACAATATACACAAAATGTTTAGAAAAGCTTATTATTTTGTATTGTGACATAATTTTTACAATAATGAGATGTATTGTCATATTGCCCAGCCCTATACAAAACTGTCAATCAACAAAAAGTGTTCCTTTAAAGTTAACAGTTTATTTTGGGGAGATACATAAATGAAAAATATAATTTGATTCAGATTTATTTTTAAATTTGAATATTTGTATAATTGTGTAAATAATAAACGTAATAATAATAATGTTATGGTTGGTGTTGCTGCTGTATAATGACGCACATTTATTATTTAATATCATTATTATTTGTTAATAATAATAATAATAATAATAATAATAGGAGTACAATAATTTTTTCACTAAGATTTTTACTCTATTTTTAATACACAATCATGCTTTGCTCATTGGCCTTGAGAGGTGACAACGGTGAAGACTGAAATGCCCTCAGCGCAATTTGGGAACCAAGAAGGGACATAAATGGACAAGTGGTTGAAGAAGGTTGGTACTGGAAGAAAAAGAACAGCTTGAATTACAGTGGTGAGAAAAGAACTGAAGTACAACTGGACGAATGATTTTTTGTTTGGGAGCCTTGAAACAGTGTCAACATTGCTTTCCATTATAATGAGAGGTATGTTCTCTCAAGTGCAACCAGACATGGAGGAGATCTCTGTTTGCAGATGACAGGGTCTTAGGCAAAAAGGGATGTATGCAGTTTAAATAAATAAAAAAAATAATAAATAAAATAAATAAATAAAAAACAGATGATTAGATAAAATAAAATAAATAGACTGGGGCACCTAATTTGGCCTCAAACTAACCGCTGCTGTACATGATATGGATCACCACTTCAAGACATTCACCTTAATGTAAGTATCCTTTGATTCTACTTCTTAAGTACACACACACACACACACACACACACATATCATCTAAACCGCTTATCCTTCTGGGTCGCTGTGGGTGCTGGAGCCTATCCCAGCTGTCACTGGGCGGAAGGCAGAATACACCCTGGACAGGTCGTCAGTCCATAATATAAATAACATAACATATAAAACAAACTCTTTTATATGCTTATATGGGAACGAGAAAGAAGAAGCAGTAGGCTAAATATGATAAATATGACGTCAGTATGTATTAGCCTACACTTCAGTGACACACAAGTGGATTTTCTGTTGAAAGGGGATTCCCGGTTGTTGTATCATGGGTGTTCCACGAGGTGTTTGCGTGATGCCTGCTGGGTATTGTAGTGCGAGGACATTGACGGGAGAAACCACTGACGGGACACACAACAGTGAATTCGCTCACATCGAAGAGGCTAAAGGATGCAGCGCTGCGCTACGGAACACTACATCACATGACAATAACACATTAAATACAGGTTTTGAGCCGAAACGCCTATTTATAAAAACACAAAGCTTACGTTTACGGGCCATTTCCAGAGGAGGGCGCCACAACGACACTAGTTCACTTCGACCGTGCGGGCCACCGTACTTGTTCTGAATTCAAGCTAAAAGCTAGCTGGCTATATTGAGGCAGTAAGTATCTCTCTAAATAACAACAGCATATAATTTATTTAATGTTTAAGATGTCATTGTTAGTAGTGTTTCTTACCGTATTCACAGCTGTCAGTGTCTGTCTGTGTGTTAATGAAGCTATGTTGGCAGCTAAAGGTGGACTGTAGCAAAGTTAGCCAGCTATGCTAAGCTAACTAGGTTAGCTATCTGAGTAAATGTCTGAAATGTTGTGCGAGGGATTCAGT